GTGAAAGTTATAATATAAGATAAATCTGTTTAGATGTTTCTTAAGACCTTATACTCAATGTTTCTATTTTATATTCTAGATAATTGTCTTACTTGATAATTTACAGTGAATGATAAAACCCAGGTTTATTCCAATCATCACAATGTTGTATAATCACAAACATTTTCTGTGTTTTATTAACTTGATGAACTAAAATTAGTTTTTCTTCTCCAACAGGAACTCTGTTGATGTCTTCCAGGAGGATCCCCCGTCGGTGGCCGTCTTCCTGCTCAGGTTGGAGACTCAAAGCTTTCTTAATGTTGTTTTATTATGTTCCAGGTTTTAGGTCTTATAGATGTTTAGACTCAGTTATTTTAATCATTTGACTTCATCCTTTTTATAGTGGAGGAACATCAGGTGTTTAATGAAATACTACATTTTTATAATCCTTATTTCATTAAACACCTGATGTTCCTCCACTCCAAAAAGGATCAAATGATTAAAATAACTGAGTCTAAACATCTATAAGACCTAAAACCTGGAACATAATAAAACATGGAGAAAGCTTTGAGCTCCTACCCAATGGGGCTGGAGACTGGCTGGATGTAACCCCTAACCCCCCCCCCCCCTTTCCCCCCTCACCTGTGACACCTTGTTGCTGATGTAACATGTACAAACAGAGGTCATCATGTCTGTTCAATATTTTATTGTAATAAAACTACTGCTGTGTTGCTCCTTACAAGTTATACCTCGTTGTAAAGGTGACTCATCAGGCTTCCCAACGATATAAAATACAACACCAATTAGTTTTATTAAAGAGGACAAAATAATGTTTCCAAACTTTGAGGAGTTTATTTCCAACAGTTATCAAAGCCACAGAAATCCTTCAGACTCAGCTTTACTGGTCAGGTATTCTTAAACACACGAGGAATTTTACTTTTGTAAACTTTGCTCTCTTTGTACAAAGGTATAATATTAAATATCAACAATAAACAAATAAGTAAAGACTAATATGTACAAGGATGAATAGGATAAGAGTGCAAAGATGCTGAAGTAAACATGAGGTAGTTTGAGGTAGTACTGTCTGCCAAGCCAGGAAGCCAAACAAATGCAGGACGTCACCCCCCAATAAATCATTTATTTAATATATATTTAAAAAAACAAATCTGAGGCTTGAACAAAACAACACACAGATCCAGCTGGAGACACAAAGTCTGCATCTATCTCTGTGGCTCAGGAGATAGAAGGAGGACTTGGAGTCTGGAGGTCGTGGGTTCGAATCTTATCAGGACTCAGTGAATTTTAAAGGTGTCGGTCCTAAATGAAAGACTCAAGAGGAACATAGTGAAGCACCTGCCAGTATCGATACACAGGAAAGACTCAAAGACGGTCACACACACACACACCATTATCTTAAAGGTGTTGGTCCAAAGCAAAGACTGAAGAGATCTGAGAAACACAGTCAGGTATCTGTCTCTGTGGCTCAGGAGATAGAAGGAGGACTTGGACTCTGGAGGTTGTGGGTTCAAATCTTATCAAAGCAAATTTTAAAGTCCAACATCTGAAATGATGAAGATAAATACGCCCGGAGCTCATCTCATACTGTGAAGGGATTGGTAGTGTAGTGGATAAGATAGTGTAGGTGGAGAGCCTGGGTTTGAATCCCACTGTGTCTGGTGATGGAGGGTTCAAATCTTATAATATACTTAATATAATATACTAAATATAATATAGTGTACTTACTAATTTATTTTTTTTAAACGACATACTAACCTAAATTCATTAATGGTCCTTTGTTCCCACCATGACATCAGATTTTATTTATCATATAAACATATGGTCAATCATATATGAGGATAATATGGTTCAAAGTTTAATATGGATCATCAGTGACGTCACTCGAGACACTGTTTACATGATATGTGAACACCAAGAACACCTGTCCTCTCTCTGGGTCATTCAGGGAACAGGAAGTTATAAAGCAAACAGGAAGTTATAAAGCAAACAGGAAGTTATAAAGCAAACAGGAAGTTGAGGGTTCTTTCTTTAATCTTCAAGGCTGCCCACAGCAGGCAGCAACAGCAATGTAAGTTTAGCATTAGCATGTAGCTTAGCATTAGCCTTGTTATAATTTGTTATGTATTGTGTCTGATGTAGCATAGCATGTGGCTTAGCATGTAGCTTAGCATTAGCATGTAGCATTTAGCTTAGCATTAGCAACAACTTGTCTTAGTTTATTGTTTGAATTTATCTAGAACTTTAGTAATGACTAAACTAAATGTTCTTGTGTCTTGTAGTTTTCACTCCTTCAATCTGGTGAATAAATCAAAAGAGTCACTGATTGGCTGACTTCCCTTCAGGTGCAGCTCCTGCAATTCAAAGACAAAGCATGCACAGGTGAGTATGTAGGAATGAGGTGCAAAGGTGTGGAATCATTTATCTGTAGAGAGAGAATGTTAAAAATGTTTGATTTACATTTTAAATTGGGGAATTAATTAAAAATAAAAACTGTTTAAAAAATAAAATAAATAATTATTTATATTATGAATAAATATTATTTATTAATTTAATAATAAATAAAATAAAAAGTTTGTTTAAGCTGTTTCAATCGTCTTCTTTCTGTTTAATGCCTTGTGTTCAGAAATAAAAACATGTATTTCCACTGTGTGTGTGTTTGTATATATGTGTGTGTGTTTGTATATATGTGTGTGTGTTTGTATATATGTGTGTGTGTTTGTATATGTGTGTGTGTGTGTTTGTATATGTGTGTGTGTGTCTGTATATGTGTGTGTGTGTGTCTGTATATATATGTGTGTGTGTGTCTGTATATATGTGTGTGTGTGTCTGTATATATATGTGTGTGTGTGTCTGTATATATATATGTGTGTGTGTGTGTCTGTATATATATATGTGTGTGTGTGTCTGTATATATATATGTGTGTGTCTGTATATATATATGTGTGTGTCTGTATATATATATATGTGTGTGTGTCTGTATATATATATATGTGTGTGTGTGTCTGTATATATATATGTGTGTGTGTGTGTCTGTATATGTGTGTGTGTGTGTGTGTCTGTATATGTGTGTGTGTGTGTGTGTCTGTATATGTGTGTGTGTGTGTGTCTGTATATATATATGTGTGTGTGTCTGTATATATATATATATATATATATGTGTGTTTGTGTGAGACTCACTGGATTATTAAACTGTGCTAATCCAACATCAGCAAACAGACAGAGTTACTGCAGTGTGACACTCATTATACTCCAGGTGCAGAGGATTAAAGTACAGCTGCAGGTAGACGACTATCTAGAGCTACATGCTAATGCTAAGCCACATGCTAATGCTAAGCCACATGTTAATGCTAAGCCACATGCTATGCTACATCAGATGCAATACGTAACAAATTATAACAAGGCTAATGCTAAGCTACATGCTAAGGCTAAACCTTAACTTCAGTACAGTAAAGGAACTTACATTGCTGTTGCTGCGGGCAGATTAAAGAAAGAACCCTCAACTTCCTGTTGATCAATCCAGAGCACTTCCTGTTGATAGATCCAGAGCACTTCCTGTTGCACTCCAGAGCACTTCCTGTTGATCAATCCAGAGCACTTCCTGTTCCACTCCAGAGCACTTCCTGTTGATAGATCCAGAGCACTTCCTGTTGCACTCCAGAGCACTTCCTGTTGATCAATCCAGAGCACTTCCTGTTGCACTCCAGAGCACTTCCTGTTGATAGATCTAGAGCACTTCCTGTTGCACTCCAGAGCACTTCCTGTTGATCAATCCAGAGCACTTCCTGTTGCACTCCAGAGCACTTCCTGTTGATCAATCCAGAGCACTTCCTGTTCCACTCCAGAGCACTTCCTGTTGATCAGTCCAGAGTTACAGATTCACAGATATAAGAAGACCAATGAAAAAATGTTTCAGATTAAAAGAAGCAGACAGGTGATCATTCAAACAACATTCATTCTGTTCCTGAGTCCATTTGAACTTTTGTGATCTGTTGGTTTGGTAACCTCAGCATCGTTAACAAAAACAGTTGTTTATTTTAATAAGGACCAATCAGAAGTCCTGGAACACCCTCATGTGCTCCTTGAGACTCCTTGAAGGTCTCGGTCTGGGACTAGAAGAAAAAAAAACAACAAATAACATCACTCCATTTGTAGTTTGATTTGTATCCCCCGGTTACGACCACAAGCTTCCCGGTGTTAAAACGTCCCCTGCACACAAAGATATTTGTGGTGTTGGTCTTAGTGTGGTCATGACTACAACACTACCCTCAGCACCCTCTGCATGCAGACACCTTTTACCTGTTACCTGTTGTTTTATTTCCCTTTTAGCTGTTGTTTTATTTACCTGTTACCTGTTGTTTTATTTCCCTTTTAGCTGTTGTTTTATTTACCTGTTACCTGTTGTTTTATTTACCTTTTAGCTGTTGTTTTATTTACCTGTTACCTGTTGTTTTATTTCCCTTTTAGCTGTTGTTTTATTTACCTGTTACCTGTTGTTTTATTTACCTTTTAGCTGTTGTTTTGTTTTATTTACCTTTTAGCTGTTGTTTTATTTACCTGTTACCTGTTGTTTTATTTACCTTTTAGCTGTTGTTTTATTTACCTGTTACCTGTTGTTTTATTTACCTTTTAGCTGTTGTTTTATTTACCTGTTACCTGTTGTTTTATTTACCTTTTACCTGTTGTTTGTAAAGTGTCTTGAGATAACATTTGTTTTGAGTTGGCGCTCTACAAAATAAAGATTGATTGAACTGACTTATTGTTTTTCAAGCCTGTCATTGAAAGTTTCCCATTTATTCAAACACTAGAATACAGAAAGAAAGAAAACTACATATTCCTCTGTTGAAAAAAACTACAAACATACCTATGATGAAAAGAACCCACAAACATTCATTAATGATAAAAAAAAACAACAACTAAGGATTCTTCTAATGAGCTACACATGGTTATTTGGTATTCTCTTAAAGGTACAGGTAAAGGTACTGCTACAGGAAGTGACTGATCAAACAGGAAGTGCCCTGCCTATAAAGGAAGCAGGAAGTTGAGGGTTCCTTCTTTAATCTTCAAGGCTGCACAGAGCAGGCAGCAACAGAAATGTAAGTTCCTTCACTGTAATGAAGTTAAGGTTTAGCATGTAGCTTAGCATTAGCAACAACTAAGCTTTCTTTTGTGTGTTAGTTTGTTGTTTGAATTTCTTTATCTAGAACTTTAGTAATGACTAAAGTAAATGTTCTTGTGTCTTGTAGTTTTCACTTCTTCAATCTGGTGAATAAATCAAAAGAGTCACTAACTGATTCAATTCAAAGACACATGTGAGTATGTAGAAATGAGGTGCAAAGGTCTGCAGTGAGAGATGAAACTGTCACTCACCTTCTTTAAGTCTTTGTTCTTCACACACTCAACCAGCAGCTCTACACACACAGAGAGAGAGAGAGAGAGAGAGAGAGAGAATGTTAAAAACCACAGATAATTAAAGTTCTTATCAGTGCTCTGTATGACGAGGTTGAAGGTCTTGGTCCTCAAAAGGATTTGATTGACTTCTCCTTTTGGGTGACAGATTTATCGGCCAACAATAAACATGTAAACTACTATAACTAATTAAAACACAGCTGGCAGATAACCAACGACATTAAGGACTAATGCAGTGCAGCTGAACCTGATCACAGATGTTCTCTCTCTCTCCTCCCCAGGTACTGAAGTCAATGTGATGCAGAATGGACACAGCAGTAGTTACTTTCCAAAAAAACAGTCCCAATGTGACATGATAACAAACTGAATGTTAACTTTCATAAATCAGTTCTTTTTTATTCACTTATCTCCAAATCATTAGAAAAGTTATCTCCAGATACTTTAACATAACAAACATTTTGAAGTTTAAACTAATTGTGATGTGTTTCTTTTTTAACACTTTTAAGGGCAGCCTGATCAAAACAAGATGAAGAGCTGTTAGCATGTTTGCTACACCACGCTGCTTCACCTGCTTCATTCAACATTTGGTGAGTATTTTTCTTGGCTCTTGTTTATTTTAACTGTTTGAGTCACAGTCATATTCTTGATTTTATTTGTAGGGCAAAATTTACATCATGCTACAAACTTTGTTAATCTTAACTCTCACTTTGATGTAGATTCTTTTGACTTAAATGTTTAAAAATTTGTTATGTATCATAATGGCCCATTTTACTTTTCATGTTTTGTACAATCCTAGCTGTAAATTACTCATAGATGCATCCTGACATGAACTTTAAACCCTGATGACTTTGTTTCTTGTTTCTGATCTTCCAGGTGTTTCCTTGCTCTGAACTCTGAAGAGTAGGATCTGTGCTGCAGCTGGAAGGAGTTTCTTTGGATTAAAGTTTACTTGTTAGCTGTTTTAGTTTGCTTTCAGCTATAGTTTAAAGTCTGTTTTCTTTAATTTTCATTTGCAGTTTTCTCTGAATACACTTTAATAATAAAATGTCTTAATTTGTCTCATGTTTGTGTTGTCAGCATCTTTAATGCCTAATAGATGTTTTGTAGTAGTTTCCTTTGTCACAAAGCTGTGAGAGTTGCTTTCATTAGATAAAAGAATACAAGGAACAATGTAAGCTTTAAACTACTATAAATAAAACACAAATGGCAGATAACCAGAGCACAGAAGTCACTGATGCTGAATGGATAAAGCAGTAGTTTTATTACAACATTCAGGAGACAAGTTCACATCAGCACAACACAATAAGGTGTCACCGGCATCCCCATTGGGTAGGAGACTCAAAGGGTTCTTAATGTTGTTTATGTTCCAGGTTTAGGTCGAATGAAAGTTTAGACTCAGTTATTTTAATCATTTGATCCTTTTTGGAGTGGAGGAACATCAGGTGTTAAATGAAATAAGGATTATAAAGTGTAGTATTTCATTAAACACCTGATGTTCCTCCACTACAAAAAGGATCAAATGATTAAAATAACTGAGTCTAAACATCTATAAGACCTAAAACCTGGAACATAATAAAACAACATTAAGAAAGCTTTGAGTCTCCAACCTGAGCAGGAAGACGGCCACCGACGGGGGATCCTCCTGGAAGACGTCAACAGAGTTCCTGTTGGAGAAGAAAAACTAATTTTAGTTCATCAAGTTAATAAAACTCAGAAAATGTTTGTGATTATACAACATTGTGATGATTGGAATAAACCTGGGTTTTATCATTCACTGTAAATGATCTGTGTTTAACTTCACTTTAAGGGTTTTGGATGAGACCGAAGAAAACTTAAATTCAAAGTTTAAATGTAGAATATAATAAAGAAACATTGAGTATAAGGTCTTAAGAAACATCTTTACCTTACATTAACTGTCACAAGAACACAAACTCTAATGTAAGTTATAGTTTGAAAATAAATACATTTGATCGTTTATACATCACTTTATATAGAGAGAGTTGGTTAGTGCACCTAAATAATAAATTAATTAGACTTTGAATTAAACACAGAAAGCTTTTACTTTTTAAATTAAATAAATGAAGTCTATTCATATTACTTAAACAAGATAAACATTTAATTTCTGAGCTCTGTGAACAGTAATGTTGGGAAAATCATTTCACCTCTAATTAACATATTAGTTTATTACCTTTGCCTTTACTTTAACCCGGTGTTGTGAAGTCAAACAATTAGTTGTAAAATAACTGAAGTGATTTCTTTGAATGCTTTTAAATCCAGGCTGAGAGCACTTGAGACGACCTCCTTAACTTATAACTGTTTTTTATCATTTTAATTGATAACTGTTTTTTATCAGTTTAATTGCTGTCTGTATTTAGAGAGTGTAAATGTTTAACTTTTGCTGCCTCAGGACTCCCTTCAAAAAGAGGTTTTTAATCTCAAGGAGACTTTCCTGGATAAATAAAGGTTAAATAAAAATAAAAAACAAGTTGAAAAGACAAAGAAAACGTCGCGTTACCTTCATAATATTGATAAACGTTATCATCATCTTACTCTGACGATGTTTCCTCTTAACAAACATTTGTAATGACGTCAGCATGAGCGTTAGCCCACGTGTTAGCATTAGCATAAAGACGCAGGTATTTCTATTTTGTGTCTTTTCACACGAACTGGACTTTTAAAGACTCACTGAGTATCTAGACTTCATGTTTCCTTCCCCGGCTCCTTCTTCTTCCAACATGCTGCCACGCTGCACGCGGTCCGCACCGCTTACCTGCTCGAGACAATGATATACACACCTGAGAACACCGCAACACACCTGGGCGTGATTACCGGAAGCTTCAACCGGAAGTGACGCAGAAAGTTTCTATCGAAGAAATTAAAAAGTTATAAATAAGACGACACATAAACAAGACTAAGTCAAAAATCAAATGTTTTATTAATAGAAAATATTTATTAATGTAATTTACTTGTTTTTATGTTATTTTTTTTAACTCTTGGTAACCTAGCAACAAGAGAAAGTCAAACTCGGTCACCATGGTAACATTAACCGCCCGACTAACTGCGTTCGTTAGCAGGACGAAGCTAACCTGTTTCCCGGTCTTTAGGACACTGACTGAATTCTTACCCACAGATAAATTCAGTGTTCATGATGTTTACCTCCAGTTTCTCTCTTCCTCTCCCTGTCGTTCTCCAAAGTGTCCAAGAAGCAGATAAATTAGTTAGTTTGAGATACTAATGTGTAAAGATGGAGTTTAAAGGTGAAGTTGCGCCCTCCTGTGGTCACTCTGTGAATTACTGCATTCGAAAGTTGTTTTTCACTTTTCTTGTTCTAGATACAACAAACTCAAACTGCTTTCTTTGTTTTATTTCTTTATAAATAAATGTGACTTGACTTAATCACAGATAACATGTTTGCTTTTTAAAAAAATATATTTTTTTAAATTATAAAGCAACTGTTTACTGCTTATGTTAATTAAAATCCATTGTCTGTTAATCACACGTGCATGTTAGTCTCTCAAAGAATCTGAAGTGTAACTTCATTGATTGCATATTCTTGTGTACGTTGGAGCGTTTCACTACTGAGGAAGAAAGCAGATTGTGTTCCCATGACATATTAGGCAATATATTTTTCTTATTTTCTTATTAGTGGTAGATAATTAAAGACTACAATAAACAAGTTTCCTCAAAATGAAAGAAAACAGACAATGAAAGCTGTAAACTACTATAACTAAATAAAACACAGCTGTCAGATAAGGGGTTTTTGTTTTGAATGTCTTCACAATGTCTTTTGAATCTCCAAATTTAAGCTTTGGTTACTGGTTTGCGACACAACAATACTTAAAGCAACTGCATTTAAGATCAACAAGGACAAAATAACAGATAAACACAGACAGAGTAAAGCTGGGTTTACATTTCTACACATCTACTGGTTCATCTCAGATGGACATATCATGCAGTTTACTCGTCTACATTCATCTGAGGTGTTGTTTCTTTACAGATGATGAATTAACAGAAATCTTCACCTGTAAAAAAAAACCCTGTGCAGACTGTAAACAGCAGTTTTTAAAGAGGTGTTCACAGAAGCTGGTTCAGCAGCTTATCAAAATACTCACCACAGCATCAATGTCTCTGGGGCCGACTAACTGTGACAACGCCCTGTAGTCATCAGGAGACATGGGCAACATGTTGTCCTGCAGTCTGGACGGATGTCTGAACAGAAAGCAAATCCACATTAAATCTGCTCAATGCATTACCAATAAAATATTTGACATGTGTTTAAAAAAGTGACGTTCTCTGCTCACACTTCAGAGACAGAAATGAGCTCTGTCTTCATGTAGCCGCTCCTATCTGGATTGTTCTCCACATCCATGGGCTCCTGAGCTAAAAGTCAAATAAACACAGATTCAACTTTAACAGCATTTAGTCCCCAATAAGCATTAAATAAACACGTGCAGTTTGCAATAAGATACTTTGCTGAAATTACAGGTAATAAAAAACCTCTCATCAGCTCCTTTGTATAAAAGGTCTAATGTTTTTACGGCACCTGCAGATTGTTAGTTTAATAAACACTCTTAAAAGAAGCATTAATACTTAATACACAGTTTTTTAAATGTAAGAAAGCATCACATTTTATAAACAGATCATATGGTTTTACTGTGAACCAGAACACTTACTCTCTGTGGGTTTGGGGTAGTATTTCCCGAAGGCCTTGTCTTTTGGGATGTTGGGGTAGAGGAAGCGGAGCGGGTTCTCGGGGATGTTCTCGGCAGCCATCACTTTGTAGGTACGGATGATGTCGGGCAGAGAGACGGCTGACAGCTCCTTCTTCGTGTACGGCTCCACAGAGTGAAAGAGCGGCTTGTCTGCAGAGAGAGGGAGTAGGAAACTGTTCTTCAATTGAAATATCAGAAAATGTCAGATACTGAGCGGAAGGTTTGGGGGTAGCACAGCACGACCTGTCTGGGCATACTGTTGTTTGTTTTGGTTTAATGCTGGTGCTAGAGGGCGATATCTACTGGATCAAAGAGTCTCACATTCTTCCTTTACATAAGACATGAACAGCATCAGTCCTTCACTCACTGCAGAGGTCGTATTCGATCCAGGTAAAGGTGATGGCTCCCTCTCTGCTGCTCTCACTGAACCTGAGCAGGAAGGTCCCGGGACACTTATCACTGAGCAGAGCCTTCTCCCTCTCCTTACTGATGAAGCCCATGATGGAGCTGCACACACACACACACACACACACACACACACACACACACACACACACACACACACACACACACACACACACACAGAAAATGACTCTAACATCCACTCCGCACATCTCAGAAAAGTGTAAGATGTAAGGTGTAAGACAGACGGCAGCACTCACCCGTCATTCCAAAGGGAAAGCAGGTGTCTTTTAATCACATCCAGGATTCCTTCGATCCACAACCAGAAGGAATACGCTTTCTCGTTCGCACTCTGCTTACAGACAAATACATTTAGTTCAAAGAGAAGTTGTAGTTTTAACTTTATGATGCACCAAAAACACTTTATCAGTATCTGCTAACCTGTACATGTTTCTCTTATTGCAGCTTTTGGTTCAATTATGACTGAAGATCTAAGTTTTTGGACAGCTTTAGTACTTTTCCAAACTTTCAATCATATTGAAAGTACAGATTTTATTCATTTTTAACTTGTGGTATCGAAAAGTATCACAGATGTTGACGATCTTAAATCTCCGGCTGAATGGGGCTCACCTTGCAGAACTTGGTCCAGGGGATTTGTCCCTCTGGGTTCCTCTTGGCTTTGGCTCCTGAAGATACAAAAAAAAGAAAAGTTAAAGGCCTGTTTGAAAGTCCTGCAGGTGTTTATCTGTTAAAGAAAACTATTTCTACCGAGCAGTTTGTCAGCCAGCATGTTGAGCTGCTCCTGGTTCAGGCCTCGCTTGGTGACGGAGGAGAACTGCCAGCTGAGGACCTCGGACAGCTGACACCACTTGGCCTGCGGAGGGCTGAGGAAGAACTTCAGATTCTGAGGGAGAGGAGAGGAAAGAAGAAGAGATGGAAACACAAAAAGTCAAACCATCTGGTTTAAAACTACAGTTAAAGATACTCTGTTACGAATAGAAGACCTTTATTCAAAACCTTACTTCATATAAAAAGCACAGGCATCAAAATATACTCAAAATGCAAACCGTAAAACAGCTATACACGCGTCAACATTTAGATTGTATTAATGGTCTGTTTATGAATTTAAGGTGGCAGCTGTGAAACTTGTTTAAATCATTAAGATATCACCTAATTGTATCTTTGATATTTGTGATAAGTAAACATCTGTAATCATCAATGAGAGTCCTGGTTGTGTA